ATTCGAAACTAAATTGGCGAAGTGGAAGCCATCAAAAAATTTGGGAAGACCATGTGTTGAAACTGCAGCCAATTATGCAATTGAAAGAACGTCGATTTCAAATGTTAATTAGAAAAATTGAAGTTTGAAAGTCTCCGCGACTGGTGGTTGTTATGGAAATTTCTAGGCGCTAGGTTTGTTCAGGCTGTCGACGGATTCGAACCTTCGATCTGCTATGTACGAGACAGGCGCATTAACCACTATGCTACAAATCTTTGAAAAGAGTGTCTTGCGATGAGCACGATTTTGTTTTTATATAACGATCTGTAGCGATTTCTAATTTTAAGTTTCATTAATTTATCGTTTTGCGTATTAGAGATACTTTTTTTCTGTTTTGTTGCTTTTTTCTTGAGTTTTTGTGCAAAATCTTGCCTCCGCTGACTTGATGATGATTGTGTGTTAGTCGGCAGCTCAATTCGGCAAAATTGCGAGCAAGCGTTGCATCTCGTTGTTTAGTTAGAGGTTTTGGCTGGCTTGATTTATATCAATTTCCAGTCGTAAAGACCTCTGGCTTAAAACATTTGCGAAGTAGATGGCTCTGAAAAGACTGACTTCAAGCTGTTAATTAGAAAAAGGAAGTTCAAAAGTGTCCTCAACTTGTGGTTGTTCTGGATTTTACCCAATTACCCATGGTTGTTCTGGATGCGGTGTTACTAAAGTTTATAGGCTCTAAAAGAATTTCCAGGCTTTGGACGGATTCGAGCCATCGATGTCCTGTTTACGAGACAGGCGCATTAACCACTATGCTACAACGCCTTGCAAACGCGATCTTGAGAAGAATATGAGTTTTTTTTTATTAACCATCTGTAGCGTTTTCTAATTTAAAGTTTCAATAACTTATCATTTTGCGTAATAGAGTTAGTTTGTTTCTGTTTTGTTGCTTTTATTCTCGAATTTTTGTTGAAATCTTGCCTCGGCTGGCCTGATTTTTATTGTGTATCAGTAGGCCGCTCAATTTGGCAAAAGTAGCTGGTCCATTGCATCTCGTCGTTTATTTAGAGATTATTATCGGCTTTTTTACAGCGATCTCCTGTGGTAAAGACCTGCCGTAAATCTTTTGCGAAGTAGATGGCTCTGAAAAGACTTCAGAGCCATCTAACCAGAGCCATCTGCCCCTGCTGACCTGATACTTATTTTGTATCAGTAGGTCGCTCAATTCGGCAAAAGTCGCGAGTAAGCATAGTATCTCGTGGTTTAATTAGAGGTTTGCAATAGATTGAATCGGTTCGCGAAAAGCTTAGGTTTTTGAAGCAAGCTAGTTAAGCAATGAAACTCTGAATTATTTCTGGTTATATCATAGACTGAATCGATTCGTGAAAAGTTAAGTTTTTCTAAGCAGGCTTCTCAAGCTATGAAACGTTGAAGTATTTCATTTTTTTCATAGACCGAATCGGTTCGCAAAATTTTCCTTCTTATCATAGAGTTTCGTTCTTATCATTGCTTTGATTGCTTCTTAAACATTAGGCTCGATAGCCTTTTAAAGGTTGTCTCCTAATAATTCTTATGCATTGTGTTTATTTAAGCCTTGCGTCCATAGCGCATTCCGACTTTCGTTTAATTTATAAGATCGCGAGTAAGCATTGTATCTTGTGATTTATTTAGGTTTTTATCGGCTTTTTTACAGCGATCTCCAGTGGTAAAGACCTGCGTTTAATCTTTTGCGAAGAAGATTGCTCTGAAAAGACTTGGACATCAGTTTTATAATTAGAAGAAGTGAAGTGTTAAAGTGTATTCGACATGTAGTTGTTTAGCAAGTTAATAGGCTCTATAAGATGACTAAGGCTTTGGACGGATTCGAACCATTGATCTCCTGTTTACGATACAGGCGCATTAAACACCATGCTACAAAATTTTGTAAAGATAATCTTGAGAAGAATATGAGTTTTTTTATTAACCATCTGTAGCGTTTTAATATTTAAATTTTTCATTCAGTTGTCATTTTGCGTACTAGACTGTTTGTTTCTGTTTTGTTGCTTTTGTTCTCGAGTGTTCATGGGAAACCTTGCCTCCGCCGACCTGATGTTTATTGTGTATCAGTAGGTCGCTCAATTCGGCAAAATCGCGAGTGAGCATTGTATCTCGTGGTTTATTTACAAGTTTTTACCGGCTTTTTTAAAGCGATCTCCCGTCGTAAAGATCCGCCCTAAAACATTTAGATGGCTCTGAAAAGGCTGACTTTAGTTTGCTAATGGCTCTGAAAAGGCTGACTTTAGTTTGTTAATTAGTAGAAGTGAAGTTTAAAAACCCTCGAGAAGCGGTCTTTCTGCAAGTTTATAGGCTCTAAAAAATTTTCAGGCTTTGGACGGATTCGAACCATTGATCTCCTGTTTACAAGACAGGCGCATTAACTCACGTTCTCTTGATAAGAATGTGAGTTTGTTTTTATGTAACCATCGTTAGCGTTTTCTATTTTTAAGTTTCATTAAAATATCATTTTGCGGATAAGAGATACATTGTTTCTGTTTTGTTGCTTTTATTCTCGATTTTTGTGGGAAATCTTGCCTCTGCTGACCTGATATTTATTGCGTGTCATTAGGTTGCTTAATTCGGCAAAAGTCGCTTGTACATTGCATCTCGTCGTTTATTTAGGTTTTTTATCGGCTTTTTCACAGCGATCTCCAGTGATAAAGACCTGCCTTAAATCTTTTGCGAATTAGATGGCTCTGAAAAGACTTGGTCATCAGTTTTATAATTGGAAGAAGTGAAGTGTAAAAGTGTATTCAACATGTAGTTGTTTAGCAAGTTTATAGGCTCTATAAGATTAATCAGGCTTTGGACGTATTCGAACCATCGCTCTCCTGTTTACGAGACAAGCGCATTAACCACTATGCTACAAAGCCTTGAGAATAATGTAAATTTTTTTCATGTAACTATCTGTTGCGTTTTCTATTTTTAAGTTTCATTAAGCTATCATTTTGCGGATTAGAGATACATTGTTTCTGTTTGTCGCTTTTATTCTCAATTTTTTGTGGAACCTGACCTGAGATTTATTGTGTGTCAATAGATCGCTCAATTCGGCAAAAGTCGGTTGTACATTGCATCTTGTCCTTTATTTAGAGATTTTTATCGGCTTTTTTAGTGATCTCCAGTGGTAAAGACCTGCCGTAAATCTTTTGCGAATTAGATGGCTCTGGAAAGACTTGGACATCAGTTTTATATTTAGAAGAAGTGAAGTGTAAAAGCGTATTCAACATGTAGTTGTTCAGCAGGTTTATAGGCTCTATAAGATTAATCAGGCTTTGGACGTATTCGAACCATCGCTCTCCTGTTTACGAGACAAGCGCATTAACCACTATGCTACAAAGCCTTGCAAATATGGTCTTGAGAAGAATATGAGTTTTTTTATTAAACATCTGTAGCGTTTTGTTATTTAAATTTTTATTGAGTTATCATTTTGCGTAGTAGAGTAAGTTTGTTTCTGTTTTGTTTCTTTTATTCTCGAGTTTTTATGGGAAATCTTGCCTCCGCCGACCTGATGTTTTTTGTGTATCAGTAGGTTGCTCAATTCGGCAAAAGTCGCGATTAAGCATTGTATCTCGTTGTTTTTAGAGGTTTTTATCGGCTTTTTTAAAGCAATCTCCCGTCGTGAAGATCCGCCCTAAAACACTTAGATGACTCTGAAAAGGCTGACTTTAGTTTGTTAATTAGTAGTAGTGAAGTTTAAAAATCCTCGACAAGCGGTCTTTCTGCAAGTTTATAGGCTGTAAAAAATTTTCAGGCTTTGGACGGATTCGAACCATCGATCTCTTGTTTACAAGACAGGCGCATTAACTCACGTTCTCTTGAGAAGAATGTGAGTTTGTTTTTATGTAACCATCTTTAGCGTTTTCTATTTTTAAGTTTCATTAAGCTATCATTTTGCGGATTAGAGATACATTGTTTCTGTTTTGTCGCTTTTATTCTCGATTTTTTTGTGGGAAATTTTGCCTCTGCTGACTTCGGCAAAAGTCGGTTGTACATTGCACCTTGTCCTTTATTTAGAGGTTTTTATCGGCTTTTTTAGTGATCTCCAGTGGTAAAGACCTGCCGTAAATCTTTTGCGAATTAGATGGCTCTGGAAAGACTTGGACATCAGTTTTATTTTTAGAAGAAGTGAAGTGTAAAAGTGTATTCAACGTGTAGTTGTTTAGCAGGTTTATAGGCTCTATAAGATTACTCAGGCTTTGGACGGTTTCGAACCTTCGATCTCCTGTTTACGAGACAGGCGCATTAACCACTATGCTACAAAGCCTTGTAAAGAGGATCTTGAGAAGAATTTGAGTTTTTTGCTTAACCATCTGTAGCGTTTTGTTATTTAAATTTTCATTGAGTTATCATTTTGCGTAATAGAGTAAGTTTGTTTCTGTTTTGTTTCTTTTATTCTCGATTTTTTGGTAGGAAATCTTGCCTCCTCTGACCTGATGTTTATTGTGTATCAGTAGGTCGCTCAATTCGGCAAAAGTCGCGAGTAAGCATTGTATCTCGTTGTTTTTTTAGAGGTTTTTATCGGCTTTTTTAAAGCGATCCTCCGTCGTTAAGATCCTCCCTAAAACACTTGCGAAGTAGATGGCTCTGAAAACGCTGACTTTAGTTTGTTAATTTGTAGAAATGAAGTTTAAAAGTCTCCTCGACATGCGGTGTTTCTGCAAGTTTGTAGGCTCTGAAAATCTTTTAGGCTTTGGACGGATTCGAACCATCGATCTTCTGTTTACAAGACAGGCGCATTAACCACTATGCTACAAAGCCTTGACAAGATTCTCTTGAGAAGAATGTGAGTTTGTTTTTATGTAACCATCTGTAGCGTTTTCTATTTTTAAGTTTCTCTAAGTTATCATTTTGCGGATTAGAGATACATTGTTTCTGTTTTGTTGCTTTTATTCTCGATTTTTTTTGTGGGAAATCTTGCCTCCTTTGACTTGATGATTGTGTGTTCGTCGGCAGCTCAATTCGGCAAAATTGCGAGTAAGCGTTGCATCTCGTCGTTTAGTTAGAGGTTTTGGCTGGCTTGATTTACATCAATCTCCAGTCGTAAAGACCTCTGGCTTAAAACATTTGCGAAGTAGTTGGCTCTGAAAAGACTTTGACTTCAAGCTGGTAATTAGAAAAAGGAAGTTTAAAAGTCTCCTCGACATGCGGTGTTTCTGCAAGTTTGTAGGCTCTGAAAATCTTTTAGGCTTTGGACGGATTCGAACCATCGATCTTCTGTTTACAAGACAGGCGCATTAACCACTATGCTACAAAGCCTTGACAAGTTTCTCTTGAGAAGAATGTGAGTTTGTTTTTATGTAACCATCTGTAGCGTTTTCTATTTTTAAGTTTCTCTAAGTTATCATTTTGCGGATTAGAGATACATTGTTTCTGTTTTGTTGCTTTTATTCTCGATTTTTTTTGTGGGAAATCTTGCCTCCTTTGACTTGATGATTGTGTGTTCGTCGGCAGCTCAATTCGGCAAAATTGCGAGTAAGCGTTGCATCTCGTCGTTTAGTTAGAGGTTTTGGCTGGCTTGATTTACATCAATCTCCAGTCGTAAAGACCTCTGGCTTAAAACATTTGCGAAGTAGTTGGCTCTGAAAAGACTTTGACTTCAAGCTGGTAATTAGAAAAAGGAAGTTTAAAAGTCTCCTCGACATGCGGTGTTTCTGCAAGTTTGTAGGCTCTGAAAATCTTTTAGGCTTTGGACGGATTCGAACCATCGATCTTCTGTTTACAAGACAGGCGCATTAACCACTATGCTACAAAGCCATGACAAGTTTCTCTTGAGAAGAATGTGAGTTTGTTTTTATGTAACCATCTGTAGCGTTTTCTATTTTTAAGTTTCTTTAAGTTATCATTTTGCGGATTAGAGATACATTGTTTCTGTTTTGTTGCTTTTATTCTCGATTTTTTGTGGGAAATCTTGCCTCCTTTGACTTGATGATGATTGTGTGTTAGTCGGCAGCTCGATTCGGCAAAATTGCGAGTAAGCGTTGCATCTCGTCGTTTAGTTAGAGGTTTTGGCTGGCTTGATTTACATCAATCTCCAGTCGTAAAGACCTCTGGCTTAAAACATTTGCGAAGTAGTTGGCTCTGAAAAGACTCTGACTTCAAGCTGGTAATAAGAAAAAGGAAGTTTAAAAGTCTCCTCGACTTGCGGTGTTTCTGCATGTTTGTAGGCTCTGAAAATTTTTCAGGCTTTGGACGGATTCGAACCATCGATCTCCTGTTTACAAGACAGGCGCATTAACCACTTTGCTACAAAGCCTTGACAAGCTACTCTTGAGAAGAATGTGAATTGTTTTCGTGTAACTATCTGCAGCGTTTTCTTATTTTAAGTTTCATTAAGTTATGATTTTGCGGATTAGAGATACATTGTTTCTATTTTCTTGCTTTTATTCTCGACTTTTTGTGGGAAATCTTGCCTCTGCTGACCTGATATTTATTGTGTGTCAATAGGTCGCTCAATTCGGCTAAAGTCGCTTGTACATTGCATCTCGTCGTTTATTTAGAGATTTTTATTGGCTTTTTCACAGCGATCTCCAGTGGTAAAGACCTGCCTTAAATCTTTTGCGAAGTAGATAGCTCTGAAAAAACTTGGACATCAGTTTTATAATTAGAAGAAGTGAAGTGTAAAAGTGTATTCGACATGTAATTGCTTAGTAAGTTTACAGGCTCTATAAGATGACTCAGGCTTTGGACGGATTCGATCCATCGATCTCTTGTTTACGAGACAGGCGCATTAACCACTATGCTACAAAGCCTTGACAAGCTACTCTTGAGAAGAATGTGAAATGTTTTCGTGTAACTATCTGCAGCGTTTTCTTATTTTAAGTTTCATTAAGTTATCATTTTGCGGATTAGAGATACATTGTTTCTGTTTGTTGCTTTTATTCTCGATTTTTTGTGGGAAATCTTGCCTCCTCTGACCTGATGTTTTTCGTGTATCAGAAGGTCGCTCAATTCGGCAAAAGTCGCGAGTAACCATTGTATCTCGTTGTTTTTTTAGAGGTTTTTATCGGCTTTTTTAAAGCGATCCCCCGTCGTGAAGATCCGCCTCAAAACACTTGCGAAGTAGATGGCTCTGAAAACGCTGACTTTAGTTTGTTAATTTGTAGAAGTGAAGTTTAAAAGTCTCCTCGACATGCGGTGTTTCTGCAAGTTTGTAGGCTCTGAAAATTTTTCAGTCTTTGGACTGGTTCGAGCCATCGATCTCGTGGTTACAGCCAGTCGCATTAACCACTATGCTACAAAGCTCTGACAAATTCTCTTGAGAAGAATGTGATTTTGTTTTTATGTAACCATCTGTCTTGAGAAGAATGTGATTTTGTTTTTATGTAACCATCTGTAGCGTTTTCTAATTTTAAGTTTCCTTAAGATATCATTTTGCGGATTAGAGATATATTGTTTCTGTTTGTTGCTTTTATTCTCGATTTTTTGTGGGAAATCTTGCCTCCTTTGACTTGATGATGATTGTGTGTTAGTCGGCAGCTCAATTCGGCAAAATTGCGAGCAAGCGTTGCATCTCGTCGTTTAGTTAGTCGTTTAGTTAGAGGTTTTGGCTGGCTTGATTTACATCAATCTCCAGTCGTAAAGACCTCTGGCTTAAAACATTTGGGAAGTAGTTGGCTCTGAAAAGACTTTGACTTCAAGCTGGTAATTAGAAAAAGGAAGTTTAAAAGCATCCTCGACTTGCGGTGTTTCTGCAAATTTGTAGGCTCTGAAAATTTTTCAGGCTTTGGACGGATTCGAACCATCGATCTCCTGTTTACAAGACAGGCGCATTAACCACTTTGCTACAAAGCCTTGACAAGCTACTCTTGAGAAGAATGTGAATTGTTTTCGTGTAACTATCTGCAGCGTTTTCTTATTTTAAGTTTCATTAAGT